GCGGGTCAAGGACATTTAGCTGCACCAACAAAGGTCGTTCTCATCTGCCTGAGGAGTCCACACACTTCAACAAAGGGCTGGTTAACACCCCCTAATTCCTGCCCATAAGCTATCCATAGACTGCACAGAACCAAAGAGTTAAGTCTTCATCACAATTCGTAATATATAAATATTTTTTCTGGGTTACCTAATTACTGGACACTCTTCTGCAGAATCACAGGACCAGCAGAAAGTGGACATTCACACCTGAGTCCCAGGATGGACACCCCCACACACACACACCCACATCTAAAATATTATATTTCTAGCCAGGAAAGAAAGAAAAAAAAAAAACCCTGCTTGTTTTTAAAGACTCTGAGTCCTGTTAGATCTCATTCAAAGGTCTAGCAACTCTTGGGAAGCCAACAGCCTTTCTCTGACTTAACTTAGCAATTCAAACCCATTTTCTGCATTTCTTTCTTTAAAAAAAAAAAAAAAAGTTTGTGCTGTTGACCCTATGTTCATCTTTTCCACCTAAAATCTCGTGATCATTGAGTAAAACTTCTCTCATCCTTTTATAATTTCTAGGTAGAAACACCATGAATCAGGCTAATTTTATGATTAAAATGCGGTATTTTTAATTTGCTGTGACCACACAGAAAATGACAGTTCCACTAATGTATCATTTTCTTTTTATCATTTGTATGTAAGAGAGAAAAGTTAACTATCAAAATATCCATAGCTTTGACATAATAGATGAAGGGGAAAAGGTTTATACGTATAAACTTACTCCAAAGATAAAATTCTACCCATCCTTTTACTTTAATTAATGACTTCCATAACTTAAAGTTGAGAGTTCTGAGAAGACGTGCCCATCGATCTACAAGGTACTCCTAAATACATAGAATCATGGCATCATTCCAACTTACAGAAGGGATGAGCTGAGTCCAACCCTCTTATGTATAGATAAGGTAGCGAGCCCCAAAATGGTAAGACTGGCCCAAGACTGTACTGCTAGTGGCCAGAGATGCCCAGTGCTCTCTTAATCCCAACAACATCACAGAGGTACAGCTTTGCACACCAAAAACACCTGAAAATGCCCTTTGTCTATTCTGTTACCATTCCTACAGCTGCTGGCTTCACTACAGAAATGAGAACTCTTCATCAATTTCAGCAAACAATCCTTGGGTACCTACCATGTATCAGGCAAAATAGACAAAGATCCCCATCCCTGTAGAGCTCATTCTTTTGTGGTACAAACAGATTTTAAAAGAAAGAAAAGGCTGGGTGCAGTGGCTCACGCCTGTAATCTGAACACTTTGGGAGGCTGAGGCAGACGGATCACTAGGTCTGGAGATCGAGACCATCCTGGCTAACATGGTGAAACCTGTCTCTACTAAAAAACATACAAAAAAGTAGCCGGGCATGGTGGCACACACCTGTAGTCCCAGCTACTCAGGAGGCTGAGGCACGAGAATTGCTTGAACCCGGGAGGTGGAGTTTGCAGTGAACCGAGATGGTGCCACTTCACTCCAGCCTAGGTGACAGAGCGACACCAGAAAGAAAGAAAGAAAGAAAGAAAGAAAGAAAGAAAGAAAGAAAGAAAGAAAGAAAGAAAGAAAGAAAGAAAGAAAGAAAGAAAGAAAGAAAGAAAGAAAGAAAGAGAGAGAGAGAGAGAGAGGGAGGGAGGGAGGGAGGGAGGGAGGAAGGAAGGAAGGAAGGAAGGAAGGAGAAAAGAAAGAAAGAGAAAGAAAGAGAGAGAAAGAGAAAGAAAGAGAGAGAAAGAGAGAAAGAGAGAGAGAGAAAGAAAGGAAGGAAGAAAGGAGGTAAGGAAGGGAAGGAAGGAAAGGAAGGAAAGGACGGAAAGGAAGGACGGAAAGAAAGGAAGGAAAGGAAGGAAGGAAAGGAGGGAGGGAGGGAGGGAAGGAAGGAAGGAAGGAAAAAGAAAAGAAAGAAAGAAGGAAAGAAAGAAAGAAAGAAAGGGAGGGAGGTAGGGAGGGAGGTAGGGAGGGAGGGAGGGAGGGAGGGAGGGAGAACTATTCATTTATTGAACATCTAATCAGCTAATATGAGAGGGAAATATATTTACAAATAAGATATGGATGTCAACCTTAAAAACAGAAGAGCATACATGAGAATCAGAACAATGCAATCAACTAGAAAATATTATCAATATGACAAAGTATCATGAAGTACAGAGGAGACATCAGGTAGTTTTGCCTGGGCAATGTAATAGAGAAGATGTCATAAATTCGGCTATATAATAGCAGTCCCTGACACCTAAACAGGGTATGGCACATAGCAGATGCTCAATAAATAGTTGTTGGATGAATGCATGAATGAACAAATGAATAATGCATTTTCCAAATAGGCAAAAGGAGGAAGATATTCCAGGCAAAGATATCACAGAATATGAAAATGTGGTACATATATAAGATGGATATTGTATGTACCTGAAGATATTCCAGGCAAAGTATCACAGTATATGAAAATGTGGTACATATATACTATGGGATATTAGACATAAAAAGAAAATTTCCCCACTTGTGACAACGTGGATGAGTCTAGAGGGCATTAGGTTAAATAAACCAGCCACAGAAGGACACACACTGCATGATCTCACTTATATATAGAATATTAAAAAGTCTAACTCAACCCAAATGCCCATCAATGACAGACTGGATAAAGAAAATGTGGTACATATACACCATGGAATACTATGCAGCCATAAAAAGGAACAAGATCATGGCCTTTGCAGGTACATGGATGGAGCTGGAAGCCATTATCCTCAGCAAACTAACACTAGAACAGAAAACACTGCATGTTCTCACTTATAAATGGAAGCTGAACAATGAGAACACATGGACACAGGGAGGGAAACAACACACACTGGGGCCTGTTGGGGGGATGGGTGGGGGGAGGGACAGCATTAGGAAAAATAGCTAAGGCATGCTCAGCTTAATACCTAGGTGATGGGTTGATAGATGCAGCAAACCACCGTGGCACACATTTACCTATGTAACAAACCTGCACATCCTGCACATGTACCCCAGAACTTAAAATAAAAAATAATTTTAAAAAAAAGTCTTAACTCACACAAGCAGAGGGTAGAATGGTAGTTACTACAGGATGGGGAGTGAGGAGGATGGGGAGTGAGGGAAATGGGGAGATGTTAGTCAAAGGGGATAAACTTTCAGTTATAAGATAAGTAAGTTCTGGTGATCTAATATACATCATGCTGACTAAAATTAATAGTGCTGTATTACATACTTGAAATATGCTAAGACAGTTCTCACCGCCACACACCAAAAATGGTAATTATATGAGGTGATGGATGTCCTCATTAGCTTGATTGTCATCATTTCACAATGTAGACGTATATCAAATCATTACATTGTACACCTCAAATGTATAAAGTTTTTATTTGTCAATTATACCACACCAAATCTGGGCAAAATTTTTTTGAGGAAAGATATCACAGTATGAACAAAGGTTTAGGGGCATCTGTATTTAAGGAGTGATGAGTGAGCCATGAACTGTGAGCAAAACAAAACAATAGAGAAGAGAAAAGGAAGATGGCACACTGTCTTGGAGGTATGTTGAGAAGGGATTTGACTACCATGCCAAGAATGTGGATTTTGTCCTGAGGACCAATAGTTTTTCAACAGCAGCACACTTGTTTTAAGCAGAATCTCGTAAGAAACCCAATAGGATAAAACTGATCCATATAGAGCTGTCCTAATAGAAGCAGGGATAGGCCCCCTGCCCACAATCTCACCATCCAGGCATGGCTGGGGACTCTATATTGTCCCTTGAAATACTGTTTGAACATCAATATAACTGGCAATGAGTCATCTTTGAACATTATCAGACGTAAGAATGTGAGTTTGGAAGGAAAAGAGAAGTCAGGAAGAGCAGTTAGAATGTCATTGAAATTGTCCAAGCACAAAATAATGAGAACTTAAATTAGATCAGTAACATTCATAGTGAAATGGAAATATAAAGAGATTTCAAAAATAGAATCCTTCATATACATGGTCATCCTGCTGCAGAAAAAAATAATTTTACCTCTGGTACATCTAAGTTTGGATATCTTTTTAAATGAAATTTATTATAAACTTCAGCCTTTTAACTGTTACTATGGCTAACACATTCTCACACTTGCAAAAGTTTATGAAAAAACACAAATTCCTTTGCAGCAAACTGCTTAAATGATGGTTCATATGTCAGAGTATGGATTTTGGGATCCTGAGAAAAGCCAATGGAAGCTATAGAAAGATAGCAAAAAGTGAAGCATGTTTGAAAGATATCTAATACTCCTTTCATTTACTAACCTGGCATACCAATTTTTGAGCAATGATCAAAACCATCATGACCCTTTCCCTACACTCCCTCAAATGTAAGCATTCAAGCTTTTTCTTAAAAGTTACATAAAATTATTCATTACCCACTTACAATTCGTTACAATTGCCCAGTAAAAGCTCCTCCTGGGTAGAAGGTTTGTGACTTAAGGAATTCATGACACTCCTGGATTAGGTAAAACGAAGATATGCTCACACAAATAAGCTAATAAGAGAGGCAGCAAGAGAACTGGGAAGCCAGAGAAATCCACATGATGAAGATACCTGGCATTTAGCCAAAAGTAAAAACTATAAATATTAATCAGATGAGAATCAGTGTCACTTTACTGCAAGAATGTTCTGTAATTAAAAGGGTAGGTATTGTGTTGTGCATGTTAGCACAATTGCCGCCAATAATATTGGATGCCAGTAGCTCCCGATTACTGCAAAGAGCACAGATTCCTAAGGATGTCGCTTAGCAGAAAGTTTACTAAATATCAACTGTTTATGTCAACTTCAAGTGATACTGCAAAGTAAAGGAAGAAGAAATATCAGGTTTCAATATTGTGTTCCTGTCTTTAAAAGACAAGAAAAGGCAAGAAAAGAAACCTTCCTTGGACATCTATTATAAGCCAGGCATTTGCTAGGCGCTTTCCAGACATAATGTCTTTGAATCCTTACCTCAATCCTGCAGAAGAGGTGTCATCATAATCACATTTCAAAGATGCAGCTATTCCAAAGTTGGCTTTGTCATCCAAGATGTGGCTGTTGTTGTGCATGTCTGAAGTGGAGCAGAGGTGACATGTCCCTGAAGTTGATAAAGTCACAAGATTGTGAGACTGCAGTGCTTCATGGATCATCCCTGTGGGTCGATGGGCCTTGGAGTGGATGAAAGGCATGGGAGGGAGATACCGAAGCTCTCATTTGGGTAAATCAGCAGTAAATCTACTCAGTGGTCAGGCAAAGGAGGTTTGGGCAACATACTGGGAGTGTCAAAAAAAAAAAGGGAGGATAATTGAAAATCAGAGTAGCAATGGTTGGAAGAGGCAAAAGGAGACAAAAGTGTCCCGTTCCCTTTCTTTCCTCTATTCCTAGACATAGGGATGAGAGATGATGAACAGCCTCCACTACTGAAGGGTGCTAAATGGTAAATACTCCCACTATGGTGGATTTCAAGCTCTCATGATGTTAGTGAGCGCAGAGTTGGGAAAAGATGTGCACAATCAGCTCTGATGATCCAGTGCCAGTTAACGCCAGCACAGTACTGCCCTTTCCCATGTCATAGCTTCCCGTCGCTTCTTCCCACCTGTTCTTGCTCAAAGATAAAGCTGTTAAGTTGTGCAGACTGTGCACATTGCGCAACTCTAGTGTTGCCATTTTCATCACAGCCGTCATTGACATATATAATTTAATATGACAATTTTCCGTTAGAAAGCTGTGTAGAGCAAAGGAGACCCTTTCCTAATTTGCACAAAAGCACCATTTGGGTTGGTTTTCATGCTGCTCAAAGACCACATACTGGAAGTCACAAGCAAAATTCAGCCCACAGACATTTTTTCTTTAACTCACATTGGATTTTTAAAAAGACATTTTTTTAAACTAGCTTGCCAACATTTAAAAGTCAGGAAACCAAAATCCAAATTACTAAATTATCTTGGAAAAATCAAAGCAAGCTGCACTACATTGAAAGCAATAACAAAGAAAGTACCTATGCCTAGATCAAGGTAGGCATTCAAAAGATGTCAGGATCCTTCAGCCCACCCTGGCTAATGTTTTGTACTCACCTTTTTTATCATTATATCCTGGAAGCCACATCATCTGGACTCTATGTTCCTCTGTGGCTCCTCCCTTAGCTTCTGTCAGTTTCTAGAACAATCTTTGCACCTCAGGGCTTTGCACTTGCCCATCTTCTTCCTGAAACACTCCACCCTCCACCCCCTTCACTGGTCCAACTCCCACTCATCCTTCCATTTCAGTTCAGATGTCATCTCCACCATCAGCTTTCAACAAGACTCCCAAGTACCTCCAACTCACGGCATGCTCCATGGAGCAGTCAGAGTGATCTTTTTAAAAAATAAATCAGATCATGGCACAGCACAATTGTCATGAAATGCAAGCTCCTTCAGCTGGCCCTTAAGGAATGGTGTCGTTTGGACACTGTCCCCATCCGTCAGTTACACTGTTTCCCTATTTCCTTTACAAACACACCTCCCATGTGCCTGCCTTTGCTCTTGCCACTCCCTTTGCAGGAACACTTTTTCCCAGGTTTTCATAGCACCTACACCTTGTTAACATTCTGGTCTCAGCACAAACCAACTGCAAATCCTCAGAGAAGCCTTTTCTACCCACCCATGTAAAATAGCAGCCCTGCCTGCTGCCAGCCTCACTTCAATGACTCTCCATCACATCCCTTGATTACATATCCCAGATATACCCCAGACCTCCAAGTCAGACTTTCTGGTGGTGGGACCTGCCAATCTTTCCTTTTATTAAGCTACCCTTGGGGATTCTGATATGCAACCAATTTAGGAACCCCCAGTCTGTGGTATAATGGGAAAGGAAAGAATGGTAGGCATGTTGAGTTGTGCTGCGGTTCACAGCAAATGTTTTGCTCCCCGTGAGTTTTGATAGTCCAATATTACAGTGATATAGGATACTACAAACCCACTGTAATTTTGCAGCAATAAATTACTGTCATTCCTTTTCTTGTTTACAATGCCACCTGAAACCTCAGTCAACAAAATTGTGGATAGTCTGTTAGAGCCAAAAATTCCTCCAACTTCTTCGTAGAATAGTTATGATCATACTAGCGAGAGGACTAAATGAAGAATGGACAGCTAAAGGATTCGACAAATTAATAGGTTGAAGGAATACGGACACATCTTTTTAAGCCAGGAATCTGTGGGTGCTTACAAATCTTTGGGAAAATACCCACTGTCACCAAGAAATTTAAGATTAAAATATGTGGTGAACTGGGAGGTACCAGGTCGGGAGGGTGCAGGGGCCAGGGCCAAGGCTGGGAGCGACTCCATTCTGGCACCCCAGCTCCTCCAGGTCACAGTCCTCACTCTGCCCCCTTGCCCACTGCTCACATGGTCCTGAGAGGCGTCTCTGTAGGGCTACTGAGCCCGCAGACCCGGCCTGCGCGTTCTGCACTCACGGGTCTCAAGACCAAGAAAGATGGGAGGACACAGAGCTGACCAGCCAAGTATAAGGACTCTGGTTGCACTGTGCATCTGCAGCCCCTTCCCAACTGTCTGCCTGCCCCAGGTGGACTCTGTCCCAGAATCCAAGGGCTACCTGAGCAGCATGACAGGGTCATGCCCAGGGTCAGAGGCACTGAGGCACCTTGCATCCCGAGTGTAACTGGCAGGACCCGCTGGTGCTGCAGGAGCAGATGAGGGCAGATGAGATCCTCATCAGGGACATCTTCCACACCTACCACCAGCAGTGACTCATGCCTGGCATCCTGCTGGCCAATCGCATTGAAGTTTTTCACGGGGAGGACCATATAGCAGCTCTGGGAGCTGGGTGTACCAGGCCCCACCATCAAAGGATATGGCTGTACTGGGGTCTCATGTGTGGTCTTTGCACTTCTGGTCTGAAAGCTGGAGTGGGTGGACAGTGGCTACAGGTCGGCGACAAGTGTCTAGTCCTCCCTTGTCATGCACCCTATCTACACCTACGTCAGTGAGGAGCAGTGGCAGAAGTATTAGGTTGGTGCAAAAGTAATTGTGCTTTTTACCATTACTTTTAATGACAAAAACTGCAATTATGTTTGCAGCAACCTATACCTGCCCCCTGCTGGCCAAGGGGGAGCTCCTGGGCTACTTCAGGCTCACAGAGCCCGACTGCAGAAGTGACCCCAGCAGCATGGAGATCAGAACCTGCCACAACCCCTGGAATAAGAGCTCCACCCTCAATGGGACCACCCTGATCCAATGGGACCTGAATCACCACCAGGATCCAATGAGACCTTGGTCACCACCTCACCTGTGGCCAACCTGTTTGTAGTGCAGGCTGGAAGATGGCTACCTTTGGGGCTTCCTGTCAGAGAAGGGGATGTGGGGTCTCTTGGCCTCCAAGATTGAGGGCAAGTTCTCCCTGCGGGCCTCTGCCATGGGCATGATCATCGTGGACAGCATAGAGGTGGAGGACGTGCTGCTCAGTGCAGGCAGCCTGGAGGGTTCCTTTGGCTACCTGAACAACACCAGATCTGGTATCATGTGGGGCGTGCTTGGAGCTGCCGAGTCTTGTCTGCTCGTGGCCAGGCAGTACACCCTGCACAGGATCCAGTTCGGTGTCCTGTTGTTCAGGCACCAGCTGATTCAGAAGTTGGAGAACATGCTCACTGAGGTCACGCTGGGCCACTCCATGCCTGCCTGCAGCACGGCCACTTGAAGAATCAGGGCAACGCATCCCCAGGACAGGTCTCTCTGCTAAAGAGGAATAACTATGAAAAAAGCCTGGACGTTGCCTGCCAGGCCTGAGACATGCTGGGGGGCACTGGGGTTTCTGATGACTATCATATGTTCCAGCACATCAGGAACTCAGAGGCCACGAAAACCTGCGAGGGTACGCATGACATGAGCACCCTGATCCTGGAAAGAGCTGTCACAGGAATCCAGGAATTCATAGCTGGCAAGTGAGCCCATCCAGCCAGGGGCCTAAAGCTCTCAAACCCCTTCCCAGAGACAGGCCTGGCTGGACCATGGGAATGCTGTGTTCTGAGCTTAGGAAGGAAGCTAGCGGATGGAGTGGGAAGTGACAGACACTGATTTTAAAATATCAGAATTTCCCTTCTGAAGTTGTTCAGATGTGTTCCTTAAAAAGAAGATGGAATTCTCTGTAGAGTTTCTCAATCCACTTTTAACTATGGATGAGAACAGACTCCATTTACCTTGGAATAGAAACTTCTATTGAGAGAAGACATTGAAGCAACTTCCTGGAGACCCCCTTGGTCTCTGCCTGAGCAGACCCCCCCTTACATCAAGGGTTCACAGTGCACCCTCTGACCCTCCCATCCGGGGGTAGTGCCTTATGCTGGACGTTGAAGCAGAATAAGGGAGAGGAAAATAAGAAGGCTGCATGTCTGACCCCACAGTGTTGGGCTGCATTGACTGGTAACCACCTGAGAAGTAGTTTCAGTCATAGGAGAAATGAACACATCTGAGTGCTCTGAGTCACTGGGACGTGGTAGGGACCATGTTGACTGGTAACCACCTGAGAAGTAGTTTCAGCCACAGGAAAAATGAACACATCTGAGTGCTATGAGTCACTGGGATGTGGTGGTCTGGCCCACGTCTGAGTCTTAGGCTCTGCTGTAATAAATAAACCCAGGTTAGCACTGCCCAGGCCCCTGGGGGGCATATACCAGGGATGCAGGGCTCAGGGCTGCGGAAGGAGAGGACAGTTTCTGACCAGCAGGGGTGCAGGGGATTTTGTTCTTTCTGTCACCACACAGCTGCTCACATGATGGTGAGAAATGACAGTGGTCTGGCTTCTCCGCTTGGACACACCATGTTACAGGGGGTCACAAATGAGATGGCAAGAGCACCACAGGCCTTGCGGGGACTGTGGCCTTGTGCAGTCAGGGCTGGCTGCCTGGTTTCTGTTCACATTTACCCTCAGCTAGGCCATCCCTAGTTCCTCAGGCAGAGCCCCCAAGTGAGTTTGTTCAGGCGGGATACCTCAGGCCGGATGCACAGGTCTGTGTACACAGTCTCCTTCTGTGGCCAACTTGGTTGAGCTCTGTTTTCAAATGGCTGATCTTTGCCACTTTCTGAGTGAACCCCTGGAGCTTTTCCTGGATGATCCTGATGTGATAATTATAAAGCTGATAGATCCTCTCCTCTAACTGCTCTGTCAGATCCAAAACTTTTCAAATAAGACACATTATTGGAAAATCAAATAAGAGGTATCACCAGCCATTTATTCTAAATGGATCTGAAATTTCTGCAATTTATCTTATAAAATGCTAAAACAAACAAACAACGCCCCCCCACGTAACCCCCCACCCCCCGCCACACACACACACACACACAAAACAACTCCAGTGCAGTCACTGGGGAGTTAAATTTTTTTAAGAGATCAAAATATATAAAGTCATTTGCCACATAGTGATGTTTTGGTCAATATTGGGTTGTATATGCTATGATGGTCTTGTAAGATTATAATATAATA